GCCCTGACAGGGAACACAAAAAAGAGTCCCTGATGGAGCAGGAGAAAGGTGGGGTGCAGAACTCAAATTCTAGTAGAAAGACCAGACTTAATGGGCTGACTGAGACTGGAGGAATCCCAGAAAGCACGGCCCCCAGACTCTCCATCAACCCAGAACTACAACTCCTGAGGCCAACACTTCAAACAAAGATTGAACTGGACTGTGGGACATAAAACTATACTTGTGAAGAGTGTGCTTCTTAGCTCAAGTAGATACATGTGTCTAAATGGGCAGCTCCTGTCCGGAGGTGAGATGAGAAGGCAGAGAGGGTTAGAACTGGTTGAATGGACATGGGAAATCAGGGGTGGAAAGGAGAAGTGTGCTGTCACAGTATAGGGAGAGCAATTAGGGTCACATAACAATGCATGTATAAATCTTTGTATGAGAAATTAACTTGAACTGTAAACTTTCACTTAAACTACAATAATAATAAGAAAAAAGAACATAGGGGTAGAGAGAAAAATGTAATATTTAGCCAGCAACAGAAGTCTCAGACCTAGGGAAGAAAGGTTAAGGATTCCTAATGATGTAACATAGACTGGATATGAAAGTTAAGAAATGTAAGAGAAAAGTTGCAATAGAAAGATCAAAAGTGAATGCGGGGAAATTAAACAGAAAGACATATGAACATGTGAAAAGATAAAGGATAACCTTCCCCCCTACCCTTGTCATCAACACATTCTGCCTACCTTTGAGTAAAGATGACCATGGCCATCTTCGAAGTAATGAGGAGTAAAGTATCTTTTTAAAAATCTACAAATGCTGAATTCCAATTTGTAAAGGTCAGGTTACAATTTCATATACTGATATACTGAACTGAGAATACACTAAATTTAAAACTATAGGAAAATAAGTAGCTAATATTGGAAGAGTTGATTAAAAGCCACAGTCACGGTAAAATTATGCTTACCCACTGAAATACTATAATAATTAATAGTAGTTACTGTTTTATTCACAGAATTAACCAGAAGTAAACACTGTTACATCCAGCACCAGTAATTTAAAAAAAAAAAAAGTCAAGCTCTTATAGTATCCCTCCATTTTTTCATGTTTTAACCTTTATGTAACAATTATCACTGTTACTTGTTTTGTGTTTTTTTAAGCTTTTTAAAGGGAAAAATAAATTTCTTTATATACATTCTTTCCTCATTTACCTGTTCCTTTTGGTTGAGAGTGCGTTAAATATTAAGGATGCTGATACCATCAAGTTGCCTATTGTCTTAACATGAATTTTCGGAATCATGTGGTATTAAATTTTAGTCTGAACTTTTAAATTGCTGAGTTATTTACCATCTCTTCAAGCAGTTTGTTGAAGCATAAATACGTTAGGGATTAATGGTCCACTGGATAGCTTCATCCTACTATGTTTTCCTAACTGTACATGCTGGCTTCATTCATTTTTCTGCCTCATGACAAATTTGTTATCTTTGTTACACAGCACTAGGAGGAAACTGAGAATAAGGGTTATCTTTGGAGGAATCCTTACGGATACAAATATCATGCGTCATTTCTAAGGAAAAAATAAGACGGAATAATTTTCTATAGGCGATCCGCAAACGGCCACAGGTAGGGATTTTGTTGGGTCTAATCTAGAAGGGCCGGCTAGACGCTTACAGAAGAGAGGTGATGGGAAAGAATTTTAAGAGGTGAGGCCTAACAAGACAGAACTGCTGCAGGAAGGACCCTGGGGTGCGGGGGGAGGTGCACGGGGAGGGAGGCATCCAGGAGATTGAAAGGGGAGAAGCTGGCTGGCAGCTGTGTTCAAGAGGGTATGGACACCTTGGGCCGTAAGGTGGTACCTGCGTGGGGTGGAGTGCCCCTGCCACCGAGTCCCCGATCCAGAGATGCTCTCGGAGAAGCTGTTGGTAGCTGAGGCAGTGCTTCACGGCGGAGGGCATATTCCCCATGGCGGGGCCGGGGGCTGCAGCCGATGATGGGCGGGAGCGAGGAGGAGACGGCTGAGGGGCGGACACCGCGCTGGGAAACCGCGCCAGCAACAGAACGCGCCCCTCCCGGGAAGCGGGGGCAGCGAGCACCAGCCCTGCCCTGCGCACTGCGGCGGCGCCGAGGGGAGGGAGGGAGGCTGGGAGGCGGCCGCGCCCAGGGGCCGGCGGTGCTCACACTGCACCTGTCGCTGACGCCGGGAACCTGGAGAGGAGAGGAACAAACCTGGTGGAGGGCATTTACCGCACTCAGCTGAGCACGCAAGGGTGACTGTATCTGTACATGCCCATCCATCGACTTCTCTGATGCAGGTCTTATCTAGAAGGAAAGGGGTCTAATAAGAGAAGGGGGCATGTGCTTATGTGTGGGTGAGTTTGCTCATTCCCAGCTACACCCTTTCGTGCTCCGTGTAGATTCGTCTAGCTTTGAGCTGACTTGGGTTTATGCTTAGGACAATAAATTCAATTTTTGTAATTGAGGCAATTTAAAAGATTGAAATACATATAAAATAGCACAATTAAGAAGAAAAGACAGGAGGGACTCTATGAGATGTCACAGGTACCTGAAGTAAATGGGTACTGCAGTAAAGCACTGAAGTGGAATCGAGTTGCTTAAAAGATGCATTGAACAAAATTATGGAAGCCCTAAAGATTACATCCGTTGGAACTACGAATTCTAAACAAGTCCTGAAGACATTAGAATTGGAGGAATATTGGAGGGGAAGTTCATTAGAAAACAGTTCTGAAGCGGACCACCTGCCCTGCCTTCGCCCCTTTCACAGGCACACTTATGTGGTCCACTGTAAAACTCAGATTGAGTTCGGTAGCCTGCAACTAAATAGACATATTCACCAAGGATAACCTTGTTCAGGGATCTTGGAGTTTTCTAGAGACCCAGCCAGGTGTCCGTGACCCGTCGACCCTTCTAGTTGCTGCAGCAAATATAAATCGGGAGTGGGTTGATACGTGAACGGTTGCACAACCAGATAGAAGAATCCAAAGATAACCTTGTAAAACACAGCATAAAGACACTTGAAGGAATTTAACAACCAAAACAGACAACCCATCCTTACCGCTTGCGGGGTGAGACCATCACTGGTAATGGACATAAAGGTTATTTAAAGGCAGAGAAAGGCTAAAAGTTGGGGAGGTCTCATGTGGATCCTTTCAATTGAGCAGCACAGGGCGGAGCAAAAGGATGAGATCATAGACCTTACACAGTTTTAACCAAAATTAGTTAACCTGGAGAACCTGCTCTGAGCTGCCAAAGTAAAGTCGTGTAATTATTGGACATATTTAAAACTTCTTAATGCACCAAAAATTCCAGTGATTATTTACCTGAACATAAATTTAGATTAATAGATCTAACTCTCTCTCATATGTTGTTTTCAGCAGGGCTAGCTGCTAATTATTTTTCCATCATGTGAAAAATGCAACATACAGGTTAGTGAAAGTATAACAATTCTATAACAGAGAACACGGTATATGAAAGGTTTGTAAAAGGACCCAGAAGGAAGAACAATAAATTTTCAAGGTAACCTTAATAATGGAGTCAGTCATTAAAAACTTCAATAATTTTGGCAATCAATACTGAAATTAAGTCTTAAATTTTGGAAAATATAACCTCCAACATAAGCCAAATAGTGTATGATCTTCTGATACTAAGAAAAAGAACATTTAAAAATAATATTTACTGTCTAATGGTTTTCTAAATGGGAAGAGTCTTCAGAAGATTTTGTATACAAATTTGTTGACCATAGTAATATCCTTTTTATATACAGATTATTTCTAAATATTAAAATATTTGTTGATGCAATTTTAGTGCACTTTATATAGAATATATTATAATATCAAAATTAAAATTCCTAAAAATACACAAACCATTAAGCAATATTAAAGGCTGAACAGCTTAAGAATCTCATGAATAAAGGAGTGACAAAACAGGTGCTTTATTTACTGGAAAGTTAAGTTGATGTTAAATTGTAAATGCTTAAACTTTATAAATCTGAACAGTTTATGCTCTTGTGTTAGTATTACTGTACATCTTCTTGTTTTTATGATTAAAATAAGTATTCTCAACATGTACCCGTGCCACTTGAAAATTTAAAATCCTTTAGGTGAACTGAGCATAGATACAGCAAACCCTATTAATAGGTAGTGTAGCTCTCTCTCCCCATAACAGGTTAGGAAATGTGGGCTCCCTCAGAATAGTAATCACTTGTTGAAAGTCACAAAGCTGGTTAGTGTCACATTTTGAGGCTGCACTCTCTGCTATTCTCATTGAATCATAACACTATGCTATTTATATTCCATTGCTACTCATGCGTTCAAATATAAAAAAAGTTATAAAAATTCACTGCAAGTTAAAATGACTTATGTGTTCTGTTTTTCTAATTGTTTTATTGCCAACTTTAAGTTACATGCAAAAATTTTACATTTTACCTTTCTCTCCTGAATATTTTTTTTACTCCTTTCTCTCCTTAACACCAACCCCACATCCAATCTGTCAACTAAAGGAATCGGTAGAATATCTTCCAACTATCCCTTCTCGCTCTCTCTCTCACTTCTGCTATTGACTTCTCTCTGCCCCACTTCTCTTCTCTTTGGAAGACACCATAGTGTAGTGGGGAAGGGCCTATGTGCTGGTTTTAGATTACCTGGGATGGAAGCCTGACTCCACGAGATTCTAACTGTATGATCTTGAGCAAGTTATTTAGCCTCTGCTTCTTTATCTGTAGAAGGTTGATGATAAAAGTGCCTAACTGGCAGAGCTGTTACAAAGATTAAATGAGCTAGAATATATAAAGTGCTTAACTCATGGTTTCTGGCACAGAGTAAGCAATACATGGTATCTATTATTACTGTTATTACAGGGCTCCAATATGTGTATATATATATATGTGTGTGTGTGTGTATATATATATATATATATATATATACACATAATACATACAGTTAGTCCCCAATTTATGATGGGGTTCTGTTCCAACAACTCTGTCATAAGTTGTTTCTGACATAAGTCAAACACCTCATTTTTTAATTTTTCATTATTATTGCCTTTTATTATCAGTGGAGCCCTGGTGTCACAGTGGTTAAGTGCACGGCTGCTTACCAAAAGGTCGGCAGTTCGAATCCACTAGCTGCTCCTTGGAAACCCTACGGGGTAGTTCTACTCTGTCCTATAGGGTCACTATGAGCTGGAATTAACTTGGTGGCAACGGGATGGGTTTTTTTGTTGTTGTTGTTGGTTTATTATCAGAATCTTTATAAATATGGCAGTGTTTTGAGCAGTAAATCATAATATTGAAACATCTGTGAGTGAGCATCTGAGATTGATAACATCAGCAAATTATGCGATGCGACATTGTATGTAGTACATATTACTAATGATAACTATGGTCATAAGTGGAATTTGTGGTAACTAGAATATGTCATGAGCTGGGGACTATCTGTGTATATAATCAACATCATTTTTTTCAGAATAGCCCTCTGAAGTACAGCCCTTAATTTAATTTATTTTTGAGGAGGAGGTGGGCAACTAGAGTATGATCATGTGAATGTTTATGTAATTATGTATGGAATCAATCTTCCAAAGATTGCACGGCAGAGGAAGATATCCACTATAGTTGTGCTTTTGTTAATTCCTATTTAGATTTTTAAACAATTTTTGCTTCATATATATAGTATTTTCTTGTGTGGTTGGTAATTTGCTTATATAAACTTATCTTTGGTGAAGATTGTTTTCTATGGAAATTGTTTATGGATTAGTGGAATACTCTTAAAGAATGGTTTCATTTTTGTTCGACCAGAGTTTCTAATGAATTTGCTTTGACTGTGCTATTATCTATTTTTTGTTAATATCTTAGCTTGAAGTCCCATGCGTGATACCACTTGGCTTCTGTTCTTTTTCAGGGTTTAGTTTCTCACTCACAGTCCGTGGTGAAGTTTTTCCACCTTCCATATATGGAAAAGCCTTATGGGACCCAGTGGTTCAAGCTTGTGGCTCAGTTAGCTACCTGTCCACACAGAGCCGTTGGTTTAGATCTCTTGCCATTTGGTAATTAAGCCCTGGCCCCTGGCTATCCAGGCCCATATTTTCTTGTGAGCCTCTTAGCAGTGGTTAGCCCCGGGTATGTTTTAGGTCTAGGCAGAAAGGGGGAGAAGAAGAATCTCTCAGAATAGCTTAGTCTCCATATTTACTGGAATTCTGACATGAAATTGTTTCTTTGATTATTGTGTTTGTTCCATATTTGTAAATGCATGCTGGAGTTCCAATCTCTTCTAACAAAGTAAAGGTCGGGACCAAGAGGCATTGAACTGAACTAAGAACACTGAATTTAACTCAGAGAGCCTAAGAATCTTATAATATAGTTCTGATATCTTAACTAATCCACCAGAGAGAAAACTAGATCGAAATTACATCATCTCTTAACCCATTCCCACCCCTCTCCCTATCTCTTCTCCGTGTAAAATGACCATGATAAGTTATAGATGTGCATTGCCTGTATCCTAAACAAAGGCTCTCAAAAACGGAATGAGCAGGGGTTTTTGTTCCAGAGACTAGTCAACTCAAAACTAGTTAGACTGATTTATATCAATTCTCTCAAGTGGTCAGGCTTTTAGTGGGAAGCGTCCAGTTAAAACAGGTTGATATACTGCGAGTCTGTTTGGTCCCAAAGATGGATATTTAAGGGTCTGTGTGATGACAACATGGACAGAATCAGAAGCAAGTGAACAGTTCATAATTATATAATAATAAGTGCCAAGCTGGCACATAGTCAAGTTACCTACTGGGCAGGGATCAAAAATGCATATGGTCAGTCTCAAACAATAATGCCATAGAACTTTGGCAAGTATTACAAGAGTAATGTGCTCCAGCCTTGAACAACAAAATAAGAAGGAAAGATAACAACTTGGTTACCAGTGCTGGATGGTACCTAAGGGAAAGCAAAGCTTTCATCATCTCAGTTTTATTGCTGATAAATTTAGATAACTTCTCACATATGTTATGTCTGGCTGATCTAAACTGATGGGAAGGATAGCAGAGTGTTTAAAAACATTCTTGATCACTAGAATCAAAGTTCTATTAACCATAGCATTGTTCTCAAAGAGAGCATTCTTTT